ATAATTTTCTTAGTATGAAGTTGGTTATGTTTTGGGGTTTTTTTCCCCTTTTAACAAGCAAACATTATTTTAAATCTTAAATTAAAACTGCTTTTTGTTCCACGTTTCTCCATTTCACTGACAGGAGGGCGTGCTAGATCTACTTAAGTATTTACTATTAGGTTTATGTGTGAACATAACAGCTCTGTTTAGCTGACAAATACTCATTTGGGATTTACTTTGATTTAGACCTTATCGTGCAAATTTCACATTTTCATACCTCTGACACATCCACATCCACCCAGTTCCTTCCACTAAGTCTTCATGGAAAACACTGGTCTAGCAATGCCTGAATGTCCCTGGGGAGTAAGCTATGCAAACAAACGCTTCCAGGTTTCTAACAGATCTCCTGGTTTTTCACTTGATGCTGTTTATCCTCTTTGCACTTGGAACAATGCAGTGAAACTGGACAGTTTCGCTGTCTGAGATGTAGCGTGGTGATATTGTTTTATTCAAGTATCTGACAGTGCTGACAATTCACATATATCTAGACCCAAATGTTAATACTTGTCTGATTGTTTTTAATGGGTGGGAAGATGGGTGAGAGCCAAATGCTTATCTTGCATGTGAGCTGCTTGGCCTTTCAGCTCCTGTAATTCTCTCAGTTTCTCCTGGCGGCTTTAGGGAACAAAGTGGGGAAAGGAGGGACAGGAGGAGAATTGTAGTGTATGGAAAAGAGAAAAGAGCGGGGCAGCTTTTTCTTTTCTTCTAACAATGAATTAAACTTCTAGTCTAATAATGTTTAACTTGTTAATAAATTTTCTATTTTAACAGTGTGAGACAGTGACTTTTTTTTTTTAAAGAACTTATCAAGATGAGAAAAAACAGAAGTAAATTCCTCAGCTTGCCTAGCTGTGCTTTTACTTTGCTCAGAGGTATTACTCAGAGGTTAAAATGGTAAACTTCCTTCTATTTAACTCAGCCAGAGCTAGGTTTTGTGAAAGCACCCTTTTGTATGCATAATGTCTGGAGTCCGCAAGTGGTGTGCAATCCCTTGTATGGCAAGAACAGGCTGCATCTATTTCTTCTGGGGGGAAAAGGTGCCTCTTAATTTCTTTGGGTGAAAGCTGGAACTTCTTTTTTACTAGCTGTACATAAAACTTTTGCTTAAATTATTTGAATGAGAATTCTTACACTAAAGCAAACATCTGCTAATTTTCTTGTGTTTAAAAAAATATGGAGGATTTGGTGCAGTGTGTAGTATGGAGCTGAGCAGCCTTATGAAAGGAGACTTGAGTTTTCTCTTGTACATCACCAGTATCCCTGCCTGGTGCTGCTCTGTCCAGCTCACCTGTGTTCATGCATTAGCGTGGCTTAGCTAAAGCATTTAGATTTCAGATTATTATCAGTATGTGAAACTGTGAGTAATCTTTGCTGTCTCTGGAACTTTGTAAACCGGTTTCCCATAGTCTGGCTATAGATCTTGCAAAGGAACATAGATTAATGTTTATTGGCAAAGCAGAAAGGTTACAGCCCAGGTAAAAACAAAGGGAGAAGAGTCAACAGGATGTCTGTTGTTTGATCTAGACGGTCTTTAGGACATTCGCTATTTTTAAGCATTCTTCCTGTGAACCTTTTTGAACTCCCTCTCTGCTGAAAACTTCTGAGAAGGGCATGCAGTTGTGAATGCTAAAACTCCAGGTATTTTCCTGTGTTAATACAGCATACTGCAGGAAAACATTTGCAGCTTTTCATTTTACAGAAGGCTGCTCATCCTTTTTTGTGTGGCTAAGGGAAACTGATATTTTCATGCTGACAGGAAGTGTGATATAGCTTGTATAGCCAGTGCTCAAGAACTAGGGTTTATTTCAGCCGGTACTGGTTCTTGATGTGCAACTGTAAGCCAGTTGTAATGGAAAATACTTCTTTGCAAAGTGTTTCCTGTGTCTGTTGAATAGCTGTACAAGGCTCTGCACCATGACAGTTGGGTGGGGCTCAGTATTTTGAAGGAGATCCTGCCTTCCTAGATTGTTATCACCATAAAAACCTGGTTTTTAAAGCTGCATCTGTGACATTAACTTGGAAGTATCATTGCATTTCAGTAGCACTTTATTCTTGTATAATCATTTCAATAAGCAGCTGATCTGAAATTGCATTGTTTTGAGTTCCAAGCTGAAAATGCAGATGTTGGAAATCCTGAAAGGTGATCCATACAGCCAACTCTTTGTAAATTCTGCAAGTGTTGCATGTGCAGCAAGTTCATGAGCAGGTCATGAGTGTTTTGGTTTTGGGTTTTTTTTTTTTTCAGTCATCTAAATGACCACCTCCACTGAATGTCCATAACCATGCCTGGCAGGTTCATGAGCTTACAATTATCCTGTTTCCCTGGAGATGTCTTATCCTGCATTCAGATCCCATCATGTAGTTTTATGTGACATGGGATCTGGAACCTCTCACATGTGCATTTGATTCAGTACACTGTTCTTTCTTTACTGCTGCTCTGGGAGCTTCTTGTCATGTGTTGCCACCTTACGAATTTCTGCCTCTGTCAACAGAAGTCTGGGAATGACAGTTCTTATCAAGAGAAGAAGTTAGTTACCAGTCTCATAGAGATCCTTTCTCTTTTAGAAGACCGGCAATGAGGAAAAGCAAAATTGAGGGACTTTGAAGTAGAATGTTTAATTGTGGCAAGTTAAAAATCTTATTTTAGAAGATAAAAGTTCAATAGATCTTTCAAAATCAATGCTATGGGTAAATCCAGTCTGGAAAATTGTAGTGGCCCTTGTGAGTTAGCCTTTGCATGCTGTTCTAGAGAGCTCTAGTCTGCAATGCTGTTTGTGAGGAGGCAGGAACACACTTCTGTGTTTCAGGTGTTCAGCTGTTTGCTACAACACTTGAAAGTCCTGGGTTTCCATGCATAAAATGTTCAGCTGCTGAGCTATCAAGAGTTTTGTCTTCTTAATTTTTTTACATGATCTACTGCATAAAATGAGGGATCTGCTGCCTTGTACACTCCTGCATGTGCAGAGAGTTTTGAGTGTTGTTGATCTACTGCATAAAATGAGGGATCTGCTGCCTCCTGCATGTGCAGAGAGGTTTGAGTGTTGTTTTTTTTGCTTTGGGAGAGGGGTTAGTTTTATTTCCCTGTTACTATGAATTAGGTACAGCTTATTCTAGAAGTAGAACAAATTGACTTGACATGTTCTGGCGTGACTGTTCCTTATGTTCTTCCTTTCCCACACTTCTTGGCATTGATTTTTTTTTAATTTTTTTTTTTTTTGTTCGTTTGTTTGGTGGCAGAAAGCTGCAGGAGATCTCATGTAAATAACTGTTCTGTGCTTTAAGCCTCCCAGATCATAGGTTGAGCTGATTGAAGCCAGTTTGCTAAGGCTAGTGGAAAAAGATCTTTGAAATTTAGTTCCTTAAATTCAGCTTCTGTGCAGTGATCTATAAAGTCTGGGAATGTTTGGATATTGAATTTCAAGACAGAGATTGTTTAGCAAGTACAGACACTTTGGAGAATGTTTTTTGTAGCAAAAACAGTTTGCAAGACCTCTCAAATCAATATTGGTTTATGAAATTATAGCAGAACAGGCATAGTGCTGTTGGAGTAAGGGCCAGGACAAACCCCTTATTCAAAGACCAATGTTAATACAGATGTGCTCAAACCTAACTAGTGCTGTCATTGGATGTAGGGACATCACTTGTGCCTGAAGAAGAATTCTCGTTTAAATCCAGCTTTGATTATGTAAAAAGTTAAATTGTAGTTGGTTAAAATTGCGGGGTTTTTCTAAGAACTCCAGGGTGACGTGGAACCCATGGAATTAATAAGTCTGAGATGACTTGAGTTAATTGGAGAATTTTAATGCTCCTGTAATGTTACATTACAGCATACTTCAAAACAATTTGGTCTTAGTCTCGAGGTAAATATTTTCAAGATGGTGCTGTTGTGAATGAGGACAATAGCACTCATGCTTTAAAGTTAAGCAGGGTTGTCTGCTTCTGTTTTTGAAAAGTGGCATTTGTCATAGTATAGGCTGGAGGAAAGTTTTAAACTGAAGGCTCGCTTTATAGGCTTGGGGCTTCTCTTGCTTCTCACTTGCCATCCAGGAAGGGATGCAGACAAGCTTTTTCTATAAATACATGTTCCAGTTCCATTAAGCTTTAGCATGTAAATACACACATCCTTCATTTGAGAGCTTGTTGTCTGTTAAGACTTGGTGTATCAGACTTGGTCCACTGAGTATGTGTTGACTGCATCTCTGAGTGGACTACTCAGAGGGAGACACAAGATGGTTTCTCTTGGTACAGTGCTGCCTGACTTGATGCTTCTTGAAGTACGTTACCTCAAGTTCTGCAGGTCTGACTTAGTTAACGATTATTTTCATCTGTGGGTCTCAAAGAAAAAAATCCTTTCCTCACTCCCAAGCAGATTTAACTGTATTGTCTCATAACTTAGTTGTCTCTGCCTGTGGTAAGATGAGTTAAAGTTAGTAAAATCATACTGAGTTCATCGAAGGGTTAGATCTGTCAGCAAACTGATGTTGCTCATATGTGCTGTTTCAAATTGCTCCCTTTTATTACCAGCAGCACTTGCATAGGCTTGAAAACACACACAAAAGGGGCGATATCTTGTTGTGTAATCTACAGCACTGAGATCACTGGTAGAGGCATCCACTTGAATGGTTCAGGTGCTGCAGTTGGGGGAATACTTTCCACTCTGTTTTTGTAAAGGGGTTTACTTAATCCTATCCTATCCTATCCTATCCTATCCTATCCTATCCTATCCTATCCACAACCTGGTTGTCGTGAAAAATTGGAATTCAGTTTGGTTTTTCTGGTTGGTTGTTTATTTGGTTTTTTTCCTCTAGTAAATAGAAATAATGAAATGCAGGAAAAATGTGATTTTATTATTCTAGAGTGTGTATATCCTTGGGAATTTTCAAGCGAATTATAGGTACTTACTTTTGCCATAGTTCCCAGTCATTTGTTCTGTTACTTCATGTATTCTCCATCTCTAGATACCTGCTCGAACAAGATTTTCCAGGCATGCGGATTGGTCCAGAGCCTACCACGGATTCTTTTATTGCTGTGATGTATGGAGATTCCGAAGGAAACATTCCTGGAAATGCCCTAGTTGTTGATCCTAAGAAGCCGTTCCGCAAACTCAGCCGCTTTGGAAATGCTTTCCTGAACAGGTGAGATCGGTTTGCTTGCTGTCTTTTGATTTTTATGTTTAAATTTCTACTTGATACCATCTTCAAGTATCAATGGTTTTTACAATTTTTTTTTTACCTGCTGTGTTTGTTTTGAACAGCATGGAATAAATACTCAAATACAAGCAGGAGTGGTGGCAGTTCAAGTGAATTAAAAAAAAAAAAGCAGTACTAGATAGGGTGGTACTAGCATAGATATATTCAGTTATCTGAACAGAAAATCATTGTTAAAACCAATACACAGAAAATCACTGAAATGTTCCACCAGCTGACTCGTTTATAAGGCATTACACCAGCTGGAACTCAAGATCAGTTCAGGCACAAATTCTCCTGCTCAATAAAACTGATAAGATTATAGTAGTATTATTAAAAGCTACCATCCAAAAAAAAGGAAAAAAAATATTTTCCCTATGATGCTGTCTTGCTCCTTTGCATTGTTCTCACCAGAGATCTTGGTATAGCTCTTTAAAATTGTGAATTGTAAAAAGGCCCACAAGAATGGATAATATAGGAGTATGCCTTCTGGATAAATACATATTGGAGCTGTTAAGTGTTTTATTTTGATTAACTGCTCTTCAAGCAGTCCCATAGACCAGGACGATAGCATTAGCCTCTGCTGTGTATTTGGGAAAAAGGGAAGAGTTGTTCAGGGACTGTGAATATTGCTGCAGGTAACTTAAGCAGCAAGCTAAATATTTCCAGTTAAAAGTTATTAATAACTTTGTTCACATTGTGTGAGCAATTGCCTTGTTTTCTTCCTGTATTTGATGGTAGCTTGACATGGAGGCCTGGCTTTGCAAGCCAGTTTATCTAAATTGGTTCTCTTTTAACAATAAACTTTCCTGTTTGGCCGATAAATGCTGGCATATGTGTTAAAAGTTCGTCATGTCCAGTCTTATCTTTTACGGTGCTTATTCACAGAAGAAAGCTGCTTATCATTGGCTTGGCTATCACTTTGCTGAGAGATAAGAATATGTGCTGTGGGCAGCTGCAGTCAAGTCCCATTTTAAATAATAATTCTGTGGTCTAAAGCCCCTTTCTATGAGATTATTGGCTCAGTCCTGTCCTCCAGATCACTATTCTGTTTCTCTCTTTCCCCACCATTGTGTTCTCTATGACAAGTTAATATAATTATACTGTAAATAGTATTTTGCACAATATTCAAATATTTACATAGCACATGTAATAATGCTCTTTGTTTGTTTGGATGAATGGTACACAATTTTTTTTTTTTTTTTTTGCTAAATCATCTGTCTAGCTAACTGTCTAGCCACAAATGATGGCTGCAAAGACTGCATTGTCTTTATGTTTCTGAGGCCATTTATTTATTTTCTTGCATGGCCTTCTCCAGCTGTCCAAGTTTGGGTGATGCCCAAGTCAAAATGCTATTGTCCAGCTGGAATAATGGCGCCCATCTTCCCATAAAATAGGCCTAGAAACATCTCAGTGATACTAAACAAGTTCTGGGCTTTCTGATGTTGAAATAAAGTGATAAGAAAACACACATATGAAAATTCAGTCTTCACACTTCCAAATTTATCAAAGCTACTTCATTTTATACATAGTAGTGATGTTTTTTTTTTTTTTTTTGGAATGGTTGATGTCAGGTTTTGGAAAGTTCAAAAAATGTTATTTTATTCAATAGTACCTCACTTCTCTTTGAAAAGCATCTCTTAAGCGAGTAGAAAATTAGCCTTGGTGAACGAGTTTGCTTCAAATATGCAGTATTTTCTATACCTCATCTTCCACAAAAAAAACCTAAACCCCCAAACAAAAAACCCCCCACACACAAAAAAAAAAGGTAGCGCTTTTTACATATCCTAAGGTTTTACTGAGCCAAGATGACTGCTATTTCCTTATCCCCTCTTGGGCTTCAGGAAGCAGTGTAGCTGATGCTGCTGTTTCTGTTGTACCCAAGAAGGGATGCTGTGTGCTTTTGTTACAGACTCATTATTACAAGGTCACCTGAAAGACAAGGTGAAGCAAGGTGTAAGGATTCTTTTTTTCATTATTTCCTTTGAATCATCTGGATCATTATCTGTCCAACAATAGCTTCCAAATTCTGATACATCTTACATTTTGTATCTGATATTTGACTGCCTGAACTCTTCCTGACCCTGATTATCTTTGGTCTTAACATTCTTGTTGGACCTTGGCATGGTTAAAAGGTGTTGTCTGTGATATGCTATTTCTTGAAGTAGTGTTCTCTCTACAGCCATGGGTTGCTGCAGGGTGGCCATCTTGCAGCCTGAGCCTGCAGCTCAAGGCTGTGCTGGGCTGTCTCTGGGCAGCTCTCAGGAGGAGGGCAGGCCTTGTGTGCCTTATCAGCTGCTGCCCGATAAGAAGATTAAACTCTTATGCAAATCTCTAAAGGCAGTTTATGATGGAGGGAGGTGAAGTTCTTCAGTCGTGAACTATCCCCCAAGCATAAGAGTAGTTCGAATTTAACACACAAAGTACTTTCCACAGCTCTTGAGAGGCCTGGTGGATTATTTCTTTTTCATAATGCCACCATTGAATTTGTCTCCTTTCGCAGAGGCAGGATGTTACTGTTTAGACCATGCTACTGTTTAGAGCATGCTGTGTGTAATTTTGAAGTCTCAGTTCTGGCAGCGTGAAAGCTTTTGCTCGGTTTGTGTGAGAAAGAATGTTGTTTTCAGTCCTCCACAAGCCCCACCTAAGGAGGGTGGTGGGTTAGAGACGGGACGGTTCAAATGGTGCCGGAGCAGGTGAGAGGGTGACTTGCCAGTGACTGGAATATAAAGATATCGTCAGTATGCCTTCCTGCCTGCTTCCCGTTTTGTTTGAATCTCTTTGAATTTGGGCAAAAGTTGGAGTATATGAAGATTTTTTTCTTGTGTATGCTAATTTTGGTCCTAGCAGATTGTTTGTTTTAAGGAGTCTTTTTAACGTGACATATGTGTTGTCAGCTCTTGCAAAATTTGTATTTTTATCAGCACCCAGACATGCGGTTTTACAAGGTTTTCCTGTGTTTTCTTTTTTATGAGAAGCTCTCTGCTTACTTTTTTTTTTTCTTAAACATGTATGGTTGCCAAACATAGGGATACATTAAGACTTCAGAATTTTTTATTTTTTTTTATCTCACTTGAGTCTTTCTAAAAGCAGATACATAAAGGGAAGCTCTCAAGGGACGATCTGTATGAGAGCTAGAGCTCTTGTTAATGTTTTCTCCTCCTTTCCTGCAGATTCATGTGTTCTCAGTTACCTAACCAGGTACTGAAGAGCATCAGTATCATAGACAGCCCTGGCATTCTCTCTGGAGAGAAGCAGCGCATCAGCAGAGGTGAGTTGCAGGGCTTGAAAATAACCAAACTCCCTATTTTTGCTATGCTGGACAAGTCATCGTAATCTGTTGAGGGCTTGTTTTAGTGGTATTGTGTGATGCTGTGTCTCAAACTTTCTTACTACAAGGCCTGTTAAACCAATGTCTTAAGGCTGGATGTAGGGCTTGGAATTTTTTCCTCTTGAAAACTGGTGGGGTTGGGATTTCTATCATGTGGCTCCTATGGCTGCAAAATGGCTATGGTTGCATGGTCTGCTGACTAATTAGCGCTTTGACACTCCTGAAAAAAAGCCTTATTTCCATCTTTTTAATTGCTTTCCACAAATAATAAAAGACTTATATATACTAATGAAGTTCATGAATGAAGAAATGTTTCATAATAGCTATAGCTCTCCAAGTAGGTCATGTTTAAAAACTGAGAGGGTTGGGCTTTAAGTAAGGTGCTTTTTTTTATAGGCACAGCTGCTAGTGTTGCTTCTTAAGGTCACTCAGTCGTGCCATAATACAGTTTTCAGTCAAAAGAGCTAATTTAGCAGGAGGAAGAGGGAATGAGAATATTTTTAATAAAATGAAAATTCTGCAAAGAACTGAACCCTGGTTTTAACATGCTGTTTAAGAAATTAGCCTGCCTTTGAGAAACTATTAAAACAAAACAGCGTAATGTAAATAACTTTCTTCCTTGTTTTCATTAGCTGCATTTAACTGCATGTCTGAGATTTCTGATGTAAATGGTAGTGATCCAGTGTGTGGCTTATGCCCTCAGATCTTCGCTTAAGAAACAGAAACTTGCTTCATGTCTGTGGGAGGGAAAATAATCAGTTTTTTAACATCACACCTGTGATTTTTTTGAGGAAATCCTGGAATGAGCATAATATATGGCACCTGTGCAACCGCAGTCTTATCTTTACATTGCACTAACTTCTTAGGACTGTAATCTAAACTATGCTTGCTTAGTGAACTAGTCTACTAGATGTCTGGATTCTTTGTTCAGTGACAGAATGTGGGGTTTTTGTCATCATTATTGTTCATATAGTCATGTAAAGCACTCATCATGGGGACAGAGCTATGTTTTCCTGTAGGTTATATACTTGTGAACTAGTAGAGGTGAACAGCATGAGTGCTCTGCATCTGTGCAAGCAAGGGCTTGAATGTTGTGAAACCAGATGAGTAAAACACATACTGCACGTTGGTGCTCTTATTTCTAGGCAGAAATAACCAAGTGTATAACTAACAATCTATAATCCTGAAAAATCTTCCTGTAAGATGTCCACAAAATGTTTAAATCTCAGTTTACACTTGAGAGCCTGATAAAATCAAAGATGGTATTAAATCTCCTACTTCTGCATCTCTGTTGTGGATTCCAGCTCCTTTTTTCCTCTACCAAGAAAAACTTCTCTCTGCTTGTGAAATCAAGGGAAAATGATGCTTGGCATTTAAGTGTTTGTTGCCACTTTCATAACAGTATGGAAGTGAACACGAAAGAAGCAGAAAACCAGAGCACCATACTAATATGCCACTGAAGAAGTGAGCAACTGTATGAGAAAATTCAACACCATTAGAGACTGCTGTGGAAGAGAGAGAGAGACTGTGGAAGTCCCAGACTTCATGTGTGGGACAGAGTTGTATTTCACTCCAGGTTATGTTTCACTGGTGGTCCTTTGTTCTTGTGACTTAACAAAATGTACAACTGTTGTTTCTTTATTGTTCAGAAACTCCATTTTTTGATGGTATGTGCCTTGTCAGTTGTTTCTATGGACTATCTCGGCTGTCCTTTGATACGGTAGACTTTCACCTAAGTTGACAGGGCTCAGTGATAACCTCAAATTTATCTGTTTCACAGGCTTTAACTTGACTAGTTTGCATTTCATTATTTATTTTTTTTTTTTTCAAACACATAACTTGGCATAGTTCTTTTATCATAAATGTGGTTCTCCTGTGTGCTGTTTAGCTTTAACCGCTGTGGTTGTACCATAAATAAGGTTTTGGGAATCAGCTTTAGAGAACTGTTCTCTCTGTTGAAGTACCTACAAGTCGCTGTATGGACATATTGCATGCACCTATTGCATGCTCTTATGCTTAGGCATGTCTGAAATACTGCGCAGTCAGGTACATTTCCTCTGTATGACTTTTGGGCTGCTCATGCAGTTTCCATACAGGCGGCTTTGTGGAGTTCAAACTTGACTTGTCCTGTGGTGCTGCGCACAGGAAGGCCTGTCTGACCACCTTCCTGAAGGAGTTGGACTGACTTCAACATATTTTATGCTACAAGTCCAATTTTGCACATTTTGAAGTTTGAGTTGCTTAGATTATTTTTTAAATCGCCGTGTGCAAATGTAAGCCAGATTCTACGGGAAGTTTTTTGCTGTTCCTAAATTGTTTCTGACAGACAAGCTTCTGTTTGCACACCTTCAGAGCAACAAAGTTATTTTTTTGTACAAAATGTGTGTTGTTTCCCATTAAATTCACTGGCTGCTTCTCACTGAAAAAGGTTGCAACTGCTATGCTTCAGTATGGGAACTGCCATTTCTTTTCACTGTGAAGGTGATTACAGACTTAAACATAGGGATGCTTTTCTGTGCTTGTCAGGAAAGCTCTAAATATACAGAGTGATTCTTCAGAATTTATTTGCTGACAATTTTTGTATTTCAAAAGTTTATAGTTCATCAATTTTCTTAAGTTTTCAGTTTATTTCTATTTCTCTCTTAAACTTTTGTTTTTCTTATGAATCATGCTGCTACTTTCTAGGTAATATATACAAGATGAGATTTTTCATAATTCAGTAATGGAATATGACATTTAATAACAGCTAATAAGTATTTAGATGCTTTCTGTTATGCATCCTATTGGTGTCTGCTCACATCTGAGTTTTTAAATTACTTTTCTAGAAGTTTAGCTTGTTTCTAACATTGGTGAGCAGCAACTTTTCTTATTGATGATTTTTTAAATGTGTTTGATGGAAGAATAACATTACAGGACCTCAGTATAAAACCTTCTCTCTTTGCTGTTGGTGGTTTATTCCAATTTCCCATGAGCAGCTGCTTAACTATTTACCTATGAATAGGATGTAACACCTGCGTAATAATAGAATTTGACAGGTATCACTAGGAGTAAAGTGAAGCTTACTGAGACCAACAAAGCAATCAAATGTTAACTTTCAGTTTTAAAATGCAGGAAAACAGGAAAGGGACTATATAAAAATACAGGATATGCACTACTTCCCAGCATACTTTATTTATAACTCTGAAAAGTATCCGGGCCACGGATGAAGGAGCTGATAGATTTCTGAAGGGTCAAAAATATACACAGAGTGCAACACTCGAAGCTGTCTCTCTTGACACACCTTTCCCGCTCCTGTTGTCGGCAGGAGGATGTGCCAGAAGCTTCCTGCCTCAGACGTGTGCCAGCATTGTCCCCAGCCAGACAGTGCTTGTCACTGTGCTGCTTGTGCAGCATCACTGATGACGTTGACAAAACCCGTGTCAGACAGAAACGTGCGTATGGTGTGCAGGGTTTGGAAGGAACAATGAGCATAAAGAGAGGAGGAAGAAGAAGCAACGTCTGGCAGGGTGTGGGGAGGAACTGCTTTTAGAACAGGGTGAGGGTTGGTTCATCGTTGAGTGGCATGAAGGCAAGAGTTTCAAGGAGTATGGGAAAAGAGCTCAGAGGAAAATGGAGGATATTGGTTAGCTTGCATTTTTAAAACTGCAGTTACTTAAATACAGGTAATTGTTTCAGTTCAGTCTGGCTTGTGAACATGTAGTCATGGATTGAGTGAGGTGGTGTATATAGTTGCAGCATTGTGTCAGGCTTTCCCTTTCGGTGAGACTGTACATTCTCCCTAGGGTTACAGCAGTGCAGTAGGATTGTTATCCCCAAGTGCTGGATTGAGACAGGCTTTCATGAACGTAACTGGAAACTTCCACCCTGGACAGCAAAAAGTGCATCTTTCCATGTGGGACTGAGCTCCATTTGAAAGACTGGGAAGTTTAGATGCTCACCTGTGGCAAATCATTAGAAGAACAACAGATTGGGCAGGGGAGAATGGCAGTCCTGTCCACATCCAAATTCCCTCAGTTTTGTGGTATGTAGACCAGCAATGGCAGTTGGGATCGCTCCAGCACTTTGCCCACTCCTGATTCATCTGGTGAGCAAGTACTGCTCTCTGAGCTTGGAGGCTCCTCATTGCAGCATTCATCTGAGAGGTGCCTCTCTTCTGCTGTGCCAGTGGCACCAGCCCCAGGGGTGGAAAAACTGGATGCTCTGGCTGTCTGTGCTCGCAGGGGATGGGTGGAGCCCATCAAGCCTCCTTAATTGTTTTCTAAGTTGCAAAAACTTAGGGCAAGTCAGAAATTATTGACCTTGGGCCCACAAGGGAGAGCCTATCGTTTGTTTACATCTGTATTACTAACAGAAAATTGACCTATGCTCATACTGCAGGATTGCACAGCTGTATCTGAGTGTGGCTGGTGGCTGTCATGCACGGGGCTGGTGCTTTGTCCTGTGCTAATGACACGAGAGCTCATGATCATTCCTGTCATCAGTGTTTCCAGAGCTGGTAACCACGTGCAGTTTCTCTCCCAACTTTTTAAATCTCTTCCACATTATTTCATTTTGTTCTCCTCTGTGGTCTCTGCTCAGCCCCTTACTGATGCCTGACAGTTATGCCTCTCCCAGAGGCATCAGCTCATTCCGTCCCTGCAGCTTGGGATGAGCTCAAAAGCTCTGCAGTGCTGCTAGTGGGTACAAGGGTGACTTGTGACTTTCTAATATGCATTTGCAAGTAGATGTTGTACCTGGTGAGACATAGATCCTCAGGCTGGATATCAGTGCTGACACCAGTCACTGGGACCAAACCTCTGAAGAAATAGCAACAGTAGAGCAACAAGGAGCTGAGAAGCATCGACATCAAATATTTTTGGCTAAGTTTTCCAAACTACCAGTGTTGACCTAGTACTGCTCAACTTTGAAAGCCCTAATCCACACACAGGTACTGTTATGTGACAGGATCCTAAATGTGCTGTGTCTCACTGCTGAAATATTTAACTGTATATCACTTCTCTGTAATTCAGATATGCTCTAATGTGTAACCAGTGAATCTGTTTATTAAATGGGTTAACTTCTAATAAATGCTCATCAATATTTAATTTGTATATTAAACAAATTTATTGCTAGTTAACAACAACCTCTTGACTGTACCATTGCTTTTACAGTTCAAAATCCATCAAATGTGTGATGGGAATTTATATACTTATTTAACCAGCCTTATAATTCACCTTCTCACATACCCATTTGTGGAAAACTTAATAGATTTAACTTCCTTAATTTTGCAATTTTATGTATTTCATTTCAAGTATATTTCCTTCTACGTGAGTGAAATCAGAACAGGTTATTGTGTAGCTCAGATCTGTGCACTGGTGCAACCATGTTTTGACATGCAAGTGGCATGCAAGATCTTGCTTCTCCCTTTCTTTCTGGCTAAATTTTCATAAAGATAAATTATTCACACTGGTTTTGGTTAGATTGTTAGTGTAGAGCTCTTCCACCTGTATTTTTTGCAGCATTTCTCCTTGCCCCCACCTTTCATCTTGTGTTGAGCCCTTCAGGAACTGGTCACAGGATAAAACATATGAAAGCACTAGAGCAGTGTTATCTGGAAAGGGGCCAGATTTTGCATTCCTTACAAAGTAATCCTTTTAATGGGAAAGGTTATGTTGGCTTTATTGGTTTTTTGCTTTTTTTTTAATAGCCAGATAATGAGTCTGACCTGCATCCTTTTGGAACCTAGTAACACCTTTTTAACCTAGCCCTCTCCTTTCAGCTTGATATATCTGTGCTGGATTTATAGTGAAGTCTTATTGTCTTTTTGTTTTGTTTTTGTTTTGTTGGGGTTTTTTGAGGAGGGGCAGGGAAAGCAGGTAGCTGGGGACATTTTTCTTACTATTAACTATAATTTCTAGATTTAATTTCACATACTATTTGTAATTTTTAAAAATTTAAGACTGAGTTCTTTCCTGAGTTGCTAAACATGCACAAGCATGCTCCATGACACATCTGGAGTTCACCTTTTTTTCCTATTTCAGGTATGTCTGCTTTTCTTGATGTTGGACTTAGTCAGGTTTTACTGGAAAACAAACAAAAAAAAAGCTGATTTGCTTTTGGGTTCCCTGTTAAAGACCTGCAACTTCCTCATAACCTCTTATTTATACTATTTAAAAGATGCTCAGGAGAATGAGGAGTGGTGAAGAGTCTTTTGCTTGTATCTTTACCAGGTGTATGAAGTGTTTAGATAATTGGCTCAGGTATGAGTAGTCTAAGTGGGTTTTCTTTGCTGGGGGATTGGAGGTTTAAAGGCTTATCTTGTACAGCTGAGAAATGACCAAAGACACCCTGGAGGGCTCACTGGTGGTAACTGAGATTTCTTTGCTGTTGGCATTTAAATGTATGCTGCTGGGAGCAAAATAGTTGATTCTGTTTGGGTTACTTTACAGCAGTCCTTGCATTTTGACTGCTCCCTCTTTTAGCTCTGATTTCTTTCTGAGAGAAAGAGGAGGGGTGGGATCTTGGCTCCCAGCTCATACCTTGCTATTCCTTACTCAAACAAGATGAGTCACAGCCATGCCAAGCCTAATGCCACGTCACTAGCGGTGACTCTGCAGATTAAATGTGTCATTTCTGAATAACTCTTTGTTGTGTGGATTAGGTACCAGCTGCACTTACAAAAGCATTCAGGCAGGTGCTATGAATAGGCTTTCCTTTAGAACATCAAAAAGTTTGTTTCAGATGAACAGAAAAGTCACTTCTTGTGTTCTGTAACCTGTTATGTCCCCAAAGCCATGACCAACGCAGACACATTACTTGTAAATTGGATCTCTGAGTCAGCTGTGGCAGAGGTAACAGTAAGTGTTGCAATGCAAGGAGAGATGAGTTTGGAAATGGTTTTAAAATCCAACTATTTTAAGTTGCTGATGTGCTGGAGTGCTGCACCTGCATTGTTTTCCCTGTTGGTACAGATAGGCAGTGCTACCAAAGTGGCCAGTGTTAACAGTGATGATAAGAGCCCCACAGACCTGCTTAGCTTGCGTGCTTTGCTGGAGCCAGAGCTCCTGGAAAGAGGCAGACATGGGTGAGAGACAGTAACTCACAGCAGCACAGACGATAGTGACGTAAGAGATGGGTGGCAAGGTTGAGGGAAGGGCAGTCATAAAAACAAAAGGCCTTAATAGTGAGACTGGTCTAAGGAAATGTAGGATACTGTTATCCTGACCACATTGTCCACAAACACTCTCCTCTAGGTGGTCCATCTCCTCTTTTCCCCCAGGTAGGTGCTATGATCCCCCTGTGCTCTATCCCCAGCCCTACCTTCTCTGAGACTCGCTTTTCTGAATGGTAGGACTGAATAGTTTATTCTCCCTCCAGGCTATGACTTCTGCCAAGTCCTCCAGTGGTTTGCTGAGAGAGTTGACCGCATCATCCTCCTTTTTGATGCCCATAAGCTGGATATATCTGATGAGTTTTCAGAGGCTATTAAGTCATTCCGGGGCCAGGATGACAAGATTCGAGTGGTGCTTAATAAGGCCGACCAAGTGGACACACAGCAGCTGATGAGGGTCTATGGTGCACTCATGTGGTCCCTGGGAAAGGTGATCAACACTCCAGAGGTGCTGCGGGTCTACATTGGCTCCTTCTGGTCCCATCCTCTTCGAAACACAGAAAATCGAAGACTCTTTGAAGCTGAGGCACAGGATCTTTTCAAGGATATCCAGAGTCTCCCCCAGAAGGCTGCTGTGCGGAAACTCAATGATCTCATTAAGAGAGCAAGACTTGCAAAGGTAAGAAAAGATAAAAAAACCTAAATTAATTGAATGATTAGTCTCTTCTGTCTCTTTCAGTGCAGCCTTTCTCACTCTTCCCAATCTTCCTGTACATATAAACTGTGTGGTTTTCAGCAAATGAATTGAACTGTCAGTTTTTCAAGGAAGAGATAACCACTCAGGATATAGAAGCAAGTAGGAGGAAATCAAGGTGTACTGGGATGTGTCTCTAACTTTAGAGAAGGGATTTGATGCTTTTTAGGCCATTAAAGCTATTGTTTGCTTAACAGGGAAGTGAACTTTATTTCTTAAACACCGTGCAGTAAGGTAATCCTAAATTTACCTTTGGGAGATAAACCTTTTTTTTTTTTTTTTTTTTTTTAACAATTGTATGTAAAGAACACTTGAAAAAAAAACAAAAAAAAGAAGAAGAGGGAGAGGGAAGGACACAAAAAAACACAACCAAAACTATTCACATGCAACCAACCTTCCATATGCTTTTTTACATATTAATACCTTAATGCATACTGTCAGTCATCTGTTATGGTAAAACACTTTGACTAAATTCATTTATGTTATGCCCTGCAATACAAGACTGATTAAAAGCCTCAGTCTTGGTGATGCACAACTACTGATGAATTGTAGAGGTGCTTGTGCATTAGATTGAGAAGAATTTCAATCTGAGCCTCTCAGATTACATCTTCTTCCTTCCAAGTCACGGAGACACTTGGGTGATGCAGACTTTGTGTCATCATCTCCAGGAAAAAAACATCTCTCATTATCCAGGAACATGAGTTACGTGCCCCACTGTAGGTAGTCCCTACAGACTCATGTAGTGACATGAGTCACCGCTCCCCTTGTTTTTGACTGTGGAGAAGTACATGCATTGTGTGCAACTTACAGTCACGAACTAGTGTGTGTGGACAGACTGTGTGTGACAACAATGTGACTGTCTAAACAGGTTTTCAGCAATCAGTTGTAATTTTTTTGATAGGTCTCTAGTTATCTTTGATGAATGAGTGGATGTCATTTTAAAACTTTGTAATTTATGACCAAGTTTTAATTACCTATTTGTAAAACCTTCTGGTTAAATTTTACACTGATCTTCAGACTCCCTGCTTAACAACACTAGCTTCATCTGTGCTTTCTTCTCATGGGAGAAAAATGGTGGTACCAGACAGAAATTCTAATTTCCTAGGCAGTTATCAAATAGAATGTGAGTTGAGTTAATGAAGCTGTCCTGGAATAAATTTTCATGTGGACTTCTAAGCAAAAATGAAGATTACTTGTGCTTACATTGATATAAGAATAGCTGTGTGAGGTTAACAAAGCCAACTTCCTATGTTGGCTTAATTAACTCTCTGAATATAATGATACATTAAAGGGGTTTTTTGTGCCTGAGCTTTACGGCACCCCATAGCAGTTACTTCTTTGAAAATTCAATTTAAAATCATGTTCCTGATGATGATAAGAGTTGCTATGATCTCAATCTGTTTTGTGGATGTTGTTGACAGCTTTTTGCTTTCATTTGTTATCAATTGTTTTGGAAGTGGAAAAGTGTCAGATGGATAGTCTTTAGGTGTTCCTATGTAATCTAAAATAAAATATAAAGGTGAATACAAAATTCAGTGCTCATAGGGCATGCTAATTAGACAGCTATGGAACTGGAATAGACTGTTTATCTGCAGGCAAGCAGCAATGTAAGCTTTCCAGTGTCATATTCCAAACTGAACTTAAAATTACTGACACTCAAGCATTTTTTTACAGCATTTACATGTACAGTAACTAAAAACAAAAGCAAACTTAACTTGCTGTCAAATTTGGGCATTAGGCTTTTTTTAAGTCCTGTGACTCACTCTCCCATTTTGAAGATGGAAACTCTTCTTATCTACAAGAAACACATGTCCATACTGACAGACCTTAGATCACTTAGCATACACATGTGAAACTGTTAGTGCTTGTGAACTATAAACATACTTGTCTGGTTTTGCCAGAAGTATTATTTTAAACATAAGATCCATAAAACTACTTAGATTATTTATAAACTTTCTTAGAAATATCCTTGTTGAATCAGTTCTATCGTTCTAGAGAATTACTTGTATCTACTCTAATAGAAAATGTAGAAATTTAAATCATCTGCAATTAAAATACACTCTTTTTAGGTATGAGGAAGTGTTGTTGTGTGAAAGTTGTGATCTTAAGACATGCAAATAAAAACTGGTTACACCACTTTCCTTAAAAACAAAGAGATTTTTTTTTTTTCCTGTTTGCAGTAAGTCTCCTAAATAAGTAAGGAAAGGAATGGGAGAGCACTGCCCCTGTACAGGTTGTGTGAGGTTTGTAGAAGGCACATAAGGCACATTCTGTCATGTTTTGGTAGATATTAAGTATTCTACTTCCACTACATCTACATAATTGCTTTTTTCTAGTGATGCTTTTTTGTGATAGTCTGTCTTCCCCTAGTCTTCAAAATCTCAACTTTTTACTGCTCAACGGTTTGATAGACACTCTTATTTTTTTTAACATTTTTTTCTGTGTTTGTGAAAATTGTAACTTCTGTTTTGGAAACAGCTGCATCCTTTTTTAATGAAGATGACCTGGGTTCTGTGAAGACTTAGCCTGTTGTGGATATCATTTGACTTAAGTGGTCCTGGCTGGGTCAGAGCTTAGGAAAGCAGTTCGATTACATGAAGTTGATAGATGTGTATTGCTTCTAAAAGAAGGCTGCCTTTGTGCTTCCCTCTTGTGTGTAGAACCAGTATCAGTGTCCACACAATTAGCTGGCTAAGTGAGCTCTCCTCAGTTAAGAAGTGCAACCACCATTTCTGCCCTGGACCAGATCACTCACTGTGTGGCTAAGCAAATCCTTTTGGTGGTGAAAGGTGGTGGGAGGGTGGTAAAGGGGAAGAGATGAATGGCTCAGGGTGAGGGTGGAAGGGAGGGTGCATGGGCAAGATGGATATTTTGACGGCAGTGCTGGATTATTTTGATCATGGCAGATGAGAAACTGAAGAGAGCTCTGCAAGTATCAGTGTAGACTTGTTATCCTAAATTAATGTTTTTCCTTATATGCTGGAAAGGCTCTACTTTTCTCCCTAAGGTTTTGCAAGGCAGCTGTGGCATGCTGTTCTTAGAGTACACTGCTCTGTCATCCTCTGGTGGCTGCGTATAGACTATAGGTACTCACTTTTCTGGGAGTAAATAGGTAGGAATGCAGTGTCACTTCAGTTAGATAGCCCTGACACTTAGCACACTTTGATTGTTTAAGTCATTATCCCGTTGCTTCCCACAATAATTGGTGAGGCAGATAGATTTACAGATTGCTACCACTGAGACAGGTGGACCAGTATGGCTGGTGCCCTGATAGAATCCATGCATGTAGTGTCGGGACTTGGTTTTGGGGCCTTGTTTTTTCTCTTACTGTTGGTACTGGTAGAATGCTGAACCATGCTTCTCCTTAAAATGCAAGTGTGCATCTGTATTTCTTTTAAATATGTTCACTTTTGCTCTGCCCCCCAAAGGAATGCTGGAAGCGGCAAAAGCTACTTGATAACTGTTCCTGTAAACATGAAGTTCCATAAACAAACATTGATAATATCTTATCCTTGAGCTGACTTAGGGAAACACATTATTTCTGTTTCTTTTTATGACCTGGGTGAAGAACACTAATGATAAGTGTAGATAAACAGTAGTCTTGATTTCAGTTTTGCTTCTTCTTAGGTTCATGCTTATATCATCAGCTATCTGAAAAAAGAAATGCCCTCTGTATTTGGAAAAGAGAACAAGAAGAAGGAACTGATCAACAGATTACCAGAGATCTACATCCAGCTGCAAAGGGAATACCATATCTCAGCAGGGGACTTCCCTGAAGTCAAGAAAATGCAGGTAAAATGATCAATTACTATTTCCGTGAAATAATACTAACTTTCCAACAGAATTGCAAAGTTGAAAAAGGTAGGACCAAGTATCTCAGTATCATAGTTTTGGGTCTTCAGCAAAAGAGCAGCTGAAGTGAAAATCAGTCATGTGTCTGTTATGGGGTTAATGTGACTTGGAAGCAGTGCAGAACAAAAAAAATTGGCAACTTGCTTAGTGTGGATCCACTGATACAGGACTATAGAAATTACCATAAGGAATAAGACCTTCTGTCCTTTTAGTCATCAGCAGATGGCAGCAAATATATACATGAGAGATCAGTCACTTCTGTAATGAGGAGCAAAATTGGGAGAAAACAAAATTATGCCCAAACAGATAGCGGGTTTGACCTTTGTTTTCTAAGATTTATTGCATATCATAAATTTATACTGTCAGTTGCTGCAAATCAGGTGATTCACACCTGAACAGAGTGATGGTTGGCAGTTTTCGTCTAAGAAATCCAAAGTTCTGTGTGCATGGGCAAAGCAGCTTGCCTGTGCTTCAGGTTTCTCAGGTTCATATCACTGTAGTTCTGATATGTATGGGAGTAGCTCCCTGAGGTGATAGATGAGATTTGTTGAAGCAGTTTAACACCATTTTGAGAGGGGTTTTGAGGGGCATTGTTTGAGGGTTTTTTAAGACTTTTCCACTGTAACTGTCTCTTCCTGGCTAGCATTTTGCATGTAGAAATAATACAGTAATTGCCTAAAGCATTTGAATTTTCCAGCACTCTGGTGTTAAACATGCTTGGGCTTCTGTTAGAATAGCACGTACCACCTAGTTAAACATCTCACTGAGGTTAGTAGGAGTTATGTAGAAGAGGAAAACTTGTCAGGGACCATGTGACTTCATGAGTTCTGGCAACACTGCTATAGAAATGCTGCTGCTGCTATCCTATCTCAGTTGTTCTTTATTGGTAAAGGACACTTATTCACAAACAAGAGTTTTATAAAATCAGATCAGTCCTGTAAACTCTTGGATTTATTTTTAATTTTAAACACTTGCATAAGTGCTAGCAGGACTGAGGACCTACTTGCATGCTTTCTTTGATGTTTGGAAGAAAATCACCAAATGGAAAGTTGTTGGGTAACATTAATCAACTGCTATGTTTTTATGCATTGCCATTTTGAAAATTATATTGTAAATGTAATTTAATAGAGGAGCTCATACACTGTTGCAAAGTTGTCTTAGTGTGTTTGATCAATATATTGGGTCTATGGTACATATGTGTCAACTTTGCTACTCCTTCAAGAGGAGTTTAATTTATGGAAACTACATCAAATGGTAACATTATTTTCATTTGAAGCCCATTCTTTAACCTTTTCAATGTATTGGAAATGTTTCTAACTACTGTCACTGAAACTTTTGTCATTTGACAGGAGCTGTTGGAGACTTGTGACTTCACTAAATTTCATTCTTTGAAACCAAAGCTAATTGAAGCTGTGGATAATATGCTGGCCACCAAAATTGCCTCCCTGATGAGCCTGATCAGACAGGAGGAGAGCAATATGCCTACGGAGATGGTACATGGTGGAGCATTTGATGGCACCATGGCAGGACCTTTTGGCCAGGGTTATGGAGAAGGTGCTAAGGAAGGAGCTGATGAAGACGAGTGGGTTGTTGCCAAAGATAAACCTGCTTATGATGAGATTTTCTACACTCTGTCACCAATTAATGGCAAAATATCTGGGATTAATGCAAAAAAGGAGATGGTGACTTCTAAACTACCCAATAGTGTCTTGGGGAAGATCTGGAAACTTGCAGACTGTGATGGTGATGGGATGTTGGATGAGGAGGAGTTTGCTTTAGCAAAACATCTCATCAAGATTAAACTGGATGGATATGAACTGCCTGGCACGCTACCTTCGCACCTGGTGCCTCCATCTCACAGGAAACCTTTCCAGACAGCAGAGTGAGAAATAAAAGAGGAGAAGAGTGAGGATTCTGGAAATCTTTCAACAAATGAGTTGAAACCACCAAAATTTGAAATTTGGGCTTAGATCCTTAAACCTCACAGCACATTTCACGCAAGTTACTGAAATCAAAAGCATGGTAGCAGGGAAACATTTGTGTAGCTGTCCCTGCTGACCTTCACTCAGACATGCTTATCACAAGTGCCTTGTATAGATCTATCATAAGGTGAAAATGTTTTTGTAGTCCTGCTTCCGTGTCTTGCTGCCTTTACAACCATAAAGCAGAAAAGACCATGTATAAAAATCACTGACCTTCGCCAAACCTAAGTATTTATCAACCATAAGTTTCTTCAAACTATTTTAAATAGTGCAAGGAAGCTCTAAGTGTTAAATTCACCTGCCTATGCAAGGAACATTTTCTGTGCTAAAAACATACTTTAAGCATCGAGTGAATGTCAGCATCTCTGTAGTTGAAGAAAAGGCCGATGTAAAAAGAAACTTTATTTTTGTTCTTTTTGTTATTTAATAGGGGGTTAGAAAGAGTAGAGTAAAGGGGAGAGTCTTTTAAGTGCTCAGAATATGAGCAGACTTGTTTTTAAAATTTACTGATTATACCTACAACTGCAAAACATTAAAGTGATTATTTCACTCCGTCATCACTGTGTCTTGTAATCTGAAGAACTGCTTCTTCAGTTTTATACAGCACTATATACTCAGTATTACCATTAGAAGAGCTGAAGCTCCTTTGTTCCTTGGATTTGAAGTTTCTTTTGAGGTTTCAGTTTAGCTGCTCTGCAGACAATAAATTCCTGAATTGTTCAAAGTGACAGCAGAATGTTTTCATAAGCTAAAAAAAAAAAAAATCATGTTTGCATTGAAATCAAGCCTCACTTTCTGTTCAGAAAAGGTGCATTGCTCGAAGTTGGCCTCTTCAAAGCACATCAGATTGTCTTGGTATTGGTATTCATTGGTATTTTTCATTGGTATTTAATTTCTATTTACAGGTATATACAGTCATCTCTATATTTTTTATATATAATATTTTTAGGAAAAGTTTGTAGCTTTTTTTTGCCAACATGTAGCTGACAACCACAAAAGAGATTCGATTCCTGTGGTGGCAGATTTGAAGGATGAGGAGGCTAACAGGGATATTTACATTTACTGTAATAAATTATAGATTGGTTCCTCCAGATATTATTCCTTTATTGAAAACAATCTGTGAAGGGAATGGATGCTTAATAAATGTTCATTTTTCTAACAGCACAATCAAAGTTGACCATATCGGCCGCTTACGCAAATTTTTGGCCCTGTGAACTTGACTCTTTCAGGGAGGGCCAGTTCTCTTCCAAAATCAAACTTGACAGTCAGTTTTGCTCTATGCACATGTGCAGAAATTGACTTGTATTCCATTTGTAGTATGAAATACCCTACACATCAAAGGTACTGTAGTTTTGAGCACTTTTTCTTGGAGGCTCAGTAAGAGGTAGCAGTAGTGCCTTCTGAGACAGAGCAAGCCAAAAAGTGTTTCAGCATCCATGCAGTAGGAGTGGGGAGGGAAGTAGTTTGGGTATTGTCTCCCAGTTAAGATTTTAGTCATGCTTATGTGTTCAGATTTGTAGGTGACCTAAGAAGAGCCTCAGCTTCTTTTTTCAAATCATACATTTGTAGGTTGTCAGTCAGGTTTAATAATTCAGATCTTTCCAGACCTCTTATCTTTCTGCATCTGTTCTATTCTGATGTGAAATTACCATGAACTTTGCCAAGGCTCTGTCATGGGAAAACAATGAAACTATTTTAAGTAATGACAGAAGAACACCTTTACCTTGCCAGGCTTCCAGGCCTGTATCAAGGATATCCTGGCATAGTTAAATTGTTCTTGAGGACTTGCTTCTTTTTTTTTTTTTTTTTTTTTTTAATATCTTAGGATTTTCTCGTATCATTCAGGCATACCAAGTTTATTTCTGTTAGACCTAAATTAGGAGCTAAATTAACCTTAGTGCATCTCTATGCACTTTAGTAGAGCTGTGATACTTGACCATGAGTCTACCTGTGTGACTGTACATCTGCAGAGTAACTGATTTTCTATGTAACTTATTTTTGATTGCACAAAAGTAGTCTATAGGGATTGCAGGAGTTTTTTGTTTGTTTGTTTGTTTGTTTTTTAAAAAAAAAGGCTGCAGAAGTAGTAATGTGTGCTTGTTTGCGTGTACTGTCTGCGGTCAGTAACAAATTCATACACTAATGACCAACCTGACTACCTTAGTAAGGAAAGCCACCAGGAGAAAGAAAGCGAGCTTGTGTATTGTGACTGCTGTAGTGTGGGCAAAGCTGAGAGGATCTGGGAAGTTGCTGATTTTCCAACTCTGCCTTACCTTGCTCTTCAGCAGCACAGGGTTCCAGGGATGGACCCATGTTTGAGTTCCTGCTCTGTGTACCTTCCAAGGGTGATGCTCCAAATGCATTGGAGCTGTGTGATCCCATGCCAGCAGAAATAACCTGCTTCAGCGAGAGGAGCAGGGTAGTTTCACAGTGATTTTATTTTATTTTTATAGCTTTATTGGTAGTAAAATGGAGAACATAACCTTTTCTTCAGACTCCATGACAGCATGCTAACTTGGGCTTAGGGGACACAAATTGAAATGCATCATTTTGATAAGTTAAAATATTTTGATTAGATGAGATTGAAATGTTTTGCTTTGTTTTCCTGTAGAATTTGGAAGGGAAATGCGTGAAGCATGTATAGGAGTAGAGGTGGATTTCCTCGGTTTATCTGGAGGAATAGAAGTGTTTCAGGCTCGGTATGTAGAGCTACATGCATAAATGTATTTCTAGATATGTTGTGCAGTGCACTAGCATTGCACCTGCTTGATGGGAATAAAATACATGTCACGTTGACTTTAAACAGCAGTTTCTTGCACAGCTGAACTGATACAGTAGGTTGCTGTTGCTCAGGGGAAGAGATGTCTCTTCTCACTATCTCCTTGCAGACCCATGGGCGTATTCCATTTGCCTTGCTGGTTCGCTGGCTTGTGAGATCTTGCAAGCCCACTGAGCTAGTTAAACCAGCCACACACAACAGTTTGAATAATATTCTGTGGAGTTAGTGAGTCCATGTGTTAGGAGCATGAGGAGTGAGCAGGATTACCTTCTCTCATGAAATTGTGCTCTAAGTAGTTATTTGGAACAGCAGTATTGAGATATCTTCTGGTGTTCAGCTTGATGTTACCAGTATCTGCTGAAGAAAGACTAAGATGTTGGATTTGTTGGCTGTTTGATGCTTAGGATTTTGATTACATTTGCTGTGAGACCATTCAAAACTGTCAGTAGTTCATCCTGTGCAGTCAGTGCCCACTGCTGTAGTCTGCTGCCATAAAACAAAGTAGAGACTGCTGCTTTTACCTCTTCTCCAACTATTCCACAACAGTTTTAATTCCCAACCCTAATTCTGTTTCCACAGAAATTAATTAGAATTTTATTGTAGATTGGAACGGAAAATGTGAGGCTACTGCTCATAACCACACTACAGGTCAGCAAGAGCCTTTTAACACTGCAACAGCTTGAAAATTATGAGTTTACAAAGATTTTTAGGTCAGGATGAGGTCCCAGTTGTTAGTTGGGGAGGGTATGGATTTGTGTGGAACCTGGTCTCAAAGCAGCAGTATCCACTCCCTGCCTTTCAGCAACATCATTCATCCCCAGTACTTGAAATGTGCCCTCTTTTTCTTCTCACTTCCTTTCCTTCACAACATGCACTCACTGTGGTGGCTCTTTTTATTGTTGGAGTTCAAGCAGAGTTTGCAGTGTATGGTTTGATGGGTATGTGTAACTTAGCACTGAGAGAATAAACATGAACTTTGTTTTCTACTTCACATGCTCACCTTTTCTAATATTTTTGTTAAATACTGTGTTTTACATCAAAGACACTCTAATTTTTGAGGGAAAGCTTGATCTGTGCGGTGTGCTTCAGTTTGTCCAACTAGGCAAACAAAGCTGTAAGTTCATTATTGTTGCACTTTTATTACACAATAAATTCCTTGCAGATACTGTAATATATTTTAATATGCTTTGTAATCATTTTTAGAAAGTGGTGATAAAAATTGCTGATTTAATAAACTAATATTGAACTACCTGAGATTTTATTTTGCAAGCTTATTTCTGGAAGATAATCTTTCAGTGACTAGAATTTTGTAATCCTGCTACTTAAGGCTCATAGGCATAGTAGCTGTTTGGCAAGCTGCTTATTTTCCCACCTCGGTTTATGTATCCATAATAGGTTATAGCTATTTCTCTTCTGTGTCCTTGAACTTGTTGCTGAAATTACTGCCCATGCCAAGGCTTGACTCCAGAATTAAATTTGTATTTTAAAAGGAAAAAAAAAAAAAAACAACCCTCCAGCACCTCTCCATAGTTTGCTTTTTATAGCAGAATGTAATTTTAGAGCTTCTTAATGTCTAAGCATAGAAATTTCTTGAAGTACAAGTGTGGAAGATAAATAAAAAACTTCCTTTGTGGATTGAAAGCTTGAAACTTGAGCTGAGAGGCACTTCTTTCAACTTTGGTGGGGGTACTAACCTTGAATAATAAGAGTAGATTAAATAGCAGTTTATCAAAAAGTACTTTGTTGATATGTTTGTCCCAAAAGATCCAAGGGCATCTTTCACACTGTTCTACCTACTACTTATAAATAGCCAATTATATCACTAGAACATTTGTATTAATGTTATGCTTAAATTAATTCCTCCTGGAATTAAGGGTTTCAGGTGCAAACAATATGTTGTGCATTCCTGGAGGCTACACTGCTGTTGAATTGCAGTGGCTTGTTTGAACTGTTCCTTATAAAAGTCAGCAACAGTTTGGAGAAGATGAAGTTTTAGTGGAAGATTTGGAGGTGGAGGTTTGGGGGTTTTTTAGTAGAATGGTGTTTTACGTACTCCACGTATAAGACATTTCAGACTGAAAAATTTGCAGCATGCTTCATAGTTAGATGTTCTGCTCTAATTCAT